AATAAATACCAGAGGAACTATAACACGACCTTATACGCGAAATACATAGTCACTAGCTATATAGATACCAAGGAATCAATAAAACCCTAGAATAAGTTAAAACGATATATACTTTTCCTAATATAAAGAAAATCGTTTCTATAATCATTAGTTAATGCAACCTTTGTGCGAAAACTAAGGCGCGACGCCACAAGCCCTATAGCAAACTATAACCCCTACCGGTACCTTAGCTACTATGGGAAGCTATTATAATAGATTTTATTACTAAATTACCCCTATTAGAAGAACTAGCTACTAGAAATTTCTATAATAGCATTCTTATTATTATAGATAGACTCATAAAATTCTCCTACTTTATACCCTATAGAGAATTAATAATAGCCGAAGAATTCGCCTATTTCTTTTACTTTTATATCGCTAAAATATATAATATACCGCTTGAGATTATTACTAATCGAGGACTATTATTTATATCTAAGTTTTAGTAAAGCCTTATAGGATATTTAGGAATTAATTATAAACTCTCTATGGCATATTATAAGGAAATAGACGGATAGATAGAACGCATAAATTAAACACTAGAATAATACCTTCGATACTATATTAACTATGAATAAACTAACTAGGTTAAAAAGCTACTAGCCGCTTAGTTAGCCTATAATATAGCTATAAATAAAAACACAAAGATTATACTAGCTTATATTAATTTTAGATTTACTCTAGATACTTACTAATAATCACGAAATATTATTATTAACCCTAAGGTAATCCTTATTAGTAACTAACTAAAGAACCTATATAAAGAAATGCGAATAGAACTCGAATTTATTAAAAATAGAATAATAACCTATGCTAATAAGAAAAGGATTAAGGGACTAACCTTCTCGGAGGGAGATATGGTCTATCTAGCAATAAAAAATATCGAAATAAAATAATAAAATAAAAAACTCGACTATAAATATATTAGACCCTATAAAATTAAACAAAAAATCTCAAAATATAACTACGAATTAGACTTACTACCTAAGGTTAAGCTCTATCTAATCTTTTATATCTTACTATTAGAACCAGCACGAGATACTATCTAAGTAAAAATAGGCAATAAACCTAATATAGAAGTCAATAGACTAAAAGAATATATTATAGAAGCTATCCTTAATATAAATAAAATTAATAGCAAAATAATATATTTCATCAAATAGAAAGACTACCCCGACTTAGAAAATACATAGGAACCCCTAGAATACCTCACTAATATATAATACCTTCTAAAGAACTTCTATTAATAATACCAAACGAAAACAAAGCGGACTTAGGAATAATACTCTAATTAATAACCCTATGATCTTCTAGTAATTAAACTTTAGATAAGGCCTAAGCCTCTAAATCGCGACGAGCCTCCTCATCGCGACGCTCCGCCTCGTCTAACTCATCTAAATCCTCGCAATTACGACGGATTATCTCGGTAGCCTTCTCACGAAAATACTTCTCTTAACGATAAAGTCACTATAAACAAGATAAGGCCTCCAGAAGATCTACCTTAGCCCTCTCTTTCTATTCCTCGAGATAATCCTTCTCCTAAGAAACATAGGCAACTAGAACATATTAGTATATACCCACATACCGAAGAATACTAACCCATAGGCCTATAAAGAAATACCGCTAAAATCATAATTCATATATTTTTTCTTAACGCAAAAATTATAATACTATTTCCCTTTAGCCACTACGCACGAATAGCGATTAATATAAAAACACGCGGAATATCGAGGCATCTCGAAACCGAATTTTTCAATTAAGCGAGAAAGGTCACTACGACGCGTAGTAGCAAGTTTAAGATAGGAAGATAATTTTTTAATATAACCTAATATCTCATTAGCGAAAGAAATAATTATAAGACTAAGTTATTCACGGCGATACTTGGTCTCTGAAGCTAGCCTTAGGGATAAGACTAATAGAGAGGGAGCCTTATATTATAGCTATAATATAGTTAAAGGCGGTAATACTAGGTAGGAAATTAATTCTATTATATTAACTAATTATAAGGAAGGAAGGTATATAAGTTAAATAGAGTCGGTTTGATTTCCCTCGACGATATAAGTCAAATATCGATAATTTAACTCGACTCGACTTTAATCGACTTAAGGGACTAAATAGTATATAAGATATACTCATTATACTCTCTTATATACTAGCTACCTTAGCTATTAATATAACTTAGTTATACTTAATACCTTTAAGCATATTACTAGATATAACTTATACCACCTTTAAGGCTACGCAATATTCTCCTCTGCTAATATAAACCCAGCACGACCGGTTTATCCCTTAGGAACCCTACGATCGTCACACTTAACCTATAATATATCCACTTTGTCGATTGATTTTTAACCACCTAATATGCCTAAGTTTAATAATAAAGCTAATATTATTCTTATACTTTATGCCCTTTATAATGACCGAAAATTATCTCTCCGATGCGCCGCAAAGATCTATAAAGTTAATCCTATGAGACTATAGCGCCGCCATAAGGGCATATAGTCTCGATATAATATTACCCCTAAATTATAGAAACTATCTAATCTAGAAAAATAGACCGTAGTTTAGTTTATTCTTAACCTAGATTCGCGAGGATTTCCTTCGCGACTCTATGGTATAGAAGAAATAGCTAACTAACTACTCGCCGACTAGAATATACTACTTATTAATAAGTACTAGGCTTCTAACTTTATTAAGTAATATAAAGAGCTTAAGATATAATTTTTTTATAGATATAACTATTAGAGGGCTAAATATAAAGATCTAGCTAAGATTTAAAAGTAATTTAAGCCTATAAAGAATATAATTACTAAATATAATATTAACCTAGCTAATATTTATAACTTTAATAAGGTTAGCTTTTTTATAGGTATTATTATAAGTAAAATAATTATAATAGGCTTAAAAAAATATATAAAGCTAAAATTAGTCTAACTAAGAAATAAGAAATAGATTATTATTATCTAGGCGATTAATATAAAAGGCTAAGTAATCCCACTATTTATTATTAATATAGGCTAATATTACCTCGCTAATTAATATTAAGAAAATAACCTCCTAAGTAATTAGGCTATTATAATATCTCCTAATAGCTAGACTAATAATAAGCTAGGTCTTAAGTAATTAAAGTATTTTAGCCGGTATATAAAGACGCGATTTATTAGTTACTATTATCTTCTAATCCTCGATGGCTATAAAAGTTATTAATCTCTCGATTTTAAGAGATATTACTAGGCAAATAAGATTATTATGCTTTATATGCCGCCTTATTCGTCTTATCTTCTTTAGCCTCTCGATATCAGATATTTTAGCCTACTTAAGAAGGCATATAATTAAGAAATTAAGCATCTAATGCGATACTCTATAACCTATATTTCTAAGACTAAGTTCTTTTCCGCCTTCTATGCCATATTTTAGATTATTATAATAAAAAAGAATATTAAGTTAGCTTTTAGAGGGGCTAGGCTTATTCCTCTTAACCCGGATAGTATAATATCGAAGCTTAATATATAGCTATAGACGCTAATGCCGGTCGAGGAGGAGGCTAAGCCCTCTATCCCTTAGATTTCTAAGACGCTAAAGATAATACTTAAGGCTAAATCTTAGTTTAAATACCTTAATAAATAAATTAAAAGGTATAAAAGTAGCCCTTTAGAGTTAATTCTAAAAGCATTAAAGTATCTTTCTAAGGGAACTAAGGCAATAATATATAAGAATGCCTTATTAAAGGCAGAGAACCGTGACCTTTAATAAGCAAATAACCTCCTAAGTCGACGCTAGAGGGCAAAAAGGACCTAAGTATAGAAAGGAAGAGTAATAAGAATAGGGGAAGTAAGGGAAGTAATTAATTAGATAAGTATAGATAGGTAGGTAGAGGGCGAATCGTCGAGAAGTAGTAGTTAAGGAGGGTTAGCGCGACCGAGGGAAAGGCATTATAGAGGATATAGAAAGATAGGATATAATATAAGAATATATTAGATAGTTATAGTAATATTTAAAGAAGAATATAATAATTAGTTTTAATTAATTAGATAATTTGTTATATTTCTATAGCGATTTTTATCTTAAAGGTTGGGATTTTTGTAATACTCGCTTATTTATAATACTCGCTTATCACATTATCACGGCCATGACATGGTCGAAGGCGGTAACGCTAGGCAGGAAATCGACTCCACCACGTTAGCTAATCATAAGGAAGGAAGGTATACAAGTCAAATAGAGTCGGTTCGACTTCCCTCGACGATACAAGTCAAACGTCGACGACTCGACTCGACTCGACTTCGATCGACTTAAGGGACTAGACAGTATATAGGACATACTCATTGCACTCTCTTATATACTAGCTACCTCAGCTATCAATATAACTTGGTTACACTTAATACCTTTGAGCACATTACTAGACGTGACTTACACCACCTTCAAGGCTACGCAATATTCTCCTCTGCCAACATAAACCCAGCACGACCGGTTTATCCCTTGGGAACCCTACGATCGTCACACACGTACGTTAAGTTTTTCATGAGCTTAATAAGAGGCCCATTGGGGCCTTATATCTTTAAATAATCCCGTCTAGGACTTTGAACCTTAATCGTAGGACTTCAAACTTTAACCTTGACCCTGAAGTTAAGGGGGGACTCTCAGTTCTTCCAACAGTACACCTTGGAACCAGAAGATGTGCAAAAGCTGAGCCACGCCGAGATTTTATTTCCACATTAAATACGCGGCTATGTCTTCCCCCGAGTAATTATACAAGTCATACTCTCGTTGAATCGTGCTATCCAGGGGCCTTCGCCTCTGTGGCCAGCGACCCTACCTACGGTATTCTACCACCTGTGTATTCACCTGGACTAGTTTGTCCCTCTGGATACACAACTGCTTGTCCCATCGTGCATCGTGAGGGGATTCCGAGACCAACATCGGCGACAAATACATACAAAAATGCAAACGTGGATCTTTGGAAGATGCTGAACGAGGGCGAGGTCGCAGTGGGGTGTTGTCCATCGTGAGTAGAAGATAATTCGCCGACTGTACCATCGGCTGTTTTTCCCTGCGGTCAAAGATTCCCGCCAACCCTGCCCACGGCCAAGCAGATGCTCCAATGAGTCCATAGTCAAGACACTGACTTAATTATTTTCTTAGAGGCTATCATTGTGATCCTGCAAGCCCCTATTATTGCTTCACAACTCCAAGACTGGGGGCTCTCATCACCGGTGTTAGCTACGATCCCAATTGTAATGCCACAACAACAACTTCTACGCTGGGCACGTATTCTGCTCGACGGTTATATCTCATACAGCCCTACAATGAGACTGCCCTTCCCCTCGACGATGATGCAAGCTCGGGTTTGCCCACGGTGGGCAAAATTGTTGTCGGGATAGTTGTTCCCCTCATAGTCATACTCGTCTCGCTGGCAGCGTTTTGGCTCATCAGCCGAAAGAAGCGACACAAAGAAAGCACTCAAGCCCGAGAGATTCATGTCAACGCAGACGGCGGCGATGCAGTCATAAAAGCTGAGCTATGTGGAAGCGAAGGAACTGCCCTCGCAGGACCCTACAGCGTTGCATTTGAGAAACCCGAGTTAGAAAATACCCCTGCCAACAGTGGTTCCCACGCTAAGGCGTCCGAAATGGACGTGGACCCGTTAGACAAAGGGTTGTTGGAGTTGAAGGGTAGTAATAATGGAGGAGAGAAGCCTCGTTCTACTATTTTGGAGCTAGCCTCCAGTGCCACACAAGCTAGAGCCGCGCTATCGAGCGATCAGCCGAGAGACAGGGTCGGCGATGAAGCTCTTAGTGGTGGACAGTCACAGGCAAGAGCACGACCTGCGCAAGAGCCAGACGAGGGGACCATGGAGTTGTGGCAATGGAGCAACCCTCTACATACTGGCGAGTCAGAGAAGGCAGTTTCCACTGGAAGCAGCCTGGAGAGGCCGCGACGAAAGGCAGTTGTGGGGCAAGCCGATGCCGCACAATCCAAGGTACCGTCCTCGCCAGATACCAAGGGTCAAAGTCCTGCTTTATCTTTAGAGCTGACAACGACCTCGCCCCCAGCAACCCAGAGACGGGAGGAGGAGCCGAAGGATGGCGAGCCAGCTACAGGACCTGATTCCACCTCTAGGTGACAGGTTCAAACGCGAGGCGTCCTCAGAGCTCCTTGCCCCTGTGGGAAGAACTGAGAGTTCCCCTTAACTTCAAGATCAAGATTAAAGTTTGAAGTCCTACAATTAAGGTTCAAAGTCCTAGATGGGACCATTCAAAGATATAAGGCCTCAAAGGGCCTCTCATTGAGATGATGAATATTTAACCAAGAATAATTACAATCTTGACAATAAGAACTACGTTTTGTCAAGTGCACTCAGCATCTCTGCGTGACACAACAACATGCTTACGGTGGCCATTGTCCTCCATTTTGAGGAATGCTTCGTTCTGTTGACGAGTTTGGTATTTTGGACACGTCTAATAGAAGGCATTTTGCCTACAACCGAGTCCATCCTCCCACGCCTTGTGGCCGTATGTGGTCTTACCGAGGGTTTGGCGTTTAGGAAAGAATGAATGCTTAACTTTTGGCATATTCTCCATTCCTCTCTACAGCTAGGAAGGCCAAACTCCACAGCTGGCGTACATTACTCTCAGTTCCGGAGCTGAGCCCGGGCGGAGGCGGTAAGACGCCCAAGGGTGAGAACCTGTAGCTCCCACTCTTCTCGCTTCTTGCTGTACTGTAGGTCCAGCTCCAGACCTCAGACTGCAGTTGGTTTGAATTAGCTTCGATGACATCCCATAAAACGTTGTATGCACGTCTCAAAGCAGTATACACTCCGTCATCGCGGCAGAATGCCGGAACCTCGTCAGTATCCCGAGAGGCACGCTTCAAATCCGACGCAGGACATCGTGAGAGTTGTCGCTCCAAGCCCTTCACCATCAGTGCTAGTTGCCAGCTCCAAATGACGGTTCCATGGTACGCAGAGTTGGTGAAGTTGGCGATCAGGACATCGTCACCGGATAGTGCCGGGTTCGCAACGACTGCACCAAAGGGGGTAGTCAGGCCCGCGGGGAACGGACGAAGGATTGTATTTGCGGTGGAGTTAGCAAAGGTCGTCAGCTGCTCATCGTCGGTGGAATTGAGCAGAAAGAGACGAAACGCTGTGTCGGTATGGGTGATGGGTATCTTCTCTGGTGATGCGGTGCTATTGATCGCGATAGCATAGTCGATGACTTTTCCGGAGGAAGAGTAGTTGGCAAGAGAGTCCGCATGCGTCGGACCGTCGTAGAAGGTGCTCTTGCTGGTATATTCTTCCAGAAGAGATGTAGCATCATCAACGGTGATATTGTACTGGAAGAGAGGGAGCGTCTTGTCTTCCCAGACCTTGGCCCTTTTAGCTGCAATGGTACTCCAATTCTTGGTGATGAAGTTGTTGGGGTATACGCCTGGCATTGCTGCCAAGCTAGAAATGGCGTAAAGTGCTGCTGGCACGAGGGCACAGTTCACATCAAAAGGAATCCGACCATTCGCGAGACCGTAGGTGGAGTCACGCCATTGGCCTACAATTTCATTCTCTTTGAGGTGAATCAGGTTCTCGATCGACTGCTTTGTCTCAAAAGCCTCAGTGATGTTCATGATTTTCTGCGCGGCGATGTAGCTAAGATGTCCCCAGCTCAGGCCCTGATTCTGAACATTGATCTCGCCAGCCTTGATGTTTAAGAGTGGTTTGATCCTTTCTGGTGAGGCATTGAAGTACCGTGCCATGAGGATAGGAAGCAAGTAATCCGTGTCAATCATGGGATACACGAAGCCCGCAGCCGTCGAAGAGATATTGTTCTGCAAATTCAGAAACGTTGCATAGTCGCCAATAGTCTCCTCATGGCATACTGAACCGTCAGTCCGGTTGATTCGTTCTAAAACGGCTCCAATGACGGCTTCCATGGCTGAACTATTGCCGGTGCTGAGGACGGGCTCCAAGAGGAGGGCAGAGATCATGCTGTCTCGGCCAAAGTACGTCAGGAATCTCCAACCGCCAGCGAGAAGCTTTTCTGCGTATGAAAAGAAAGACAGGGAGCGGGTCTGTGACGGGTCTTGCTTGACTAGAGACTGGGATTCCTCGTTCAAGACCTGTCCGGGAGTCAACTGCTTGAGCTGAGGGTAGTTGAAGGACGCAGAAAACCGGTAGAACCCAGCCCCGAAGCTAACGGTCTTGTTATCGATACTGATTTGGCTGCCGTTGTTCTCCCAGGGCTCCAATGTGAGGGTTGTAGCGGTGACGTTGTCCAGCCATAGACGAGAGAATTGAACACCCGTTTCATTGACCGTGGCGACATTAATAGCGTCTTGAATAAGAGGGCTGAGGATACTGGGTCCTTCGGTGAAGTCACGAATGTTCCGGATGCTCCCAAGTATAGCCACTGTCAGCTCTGCGGAAGCATTGAACGAGAGGACCCCCTCAACGCCAACAAACGGGTACTCGGACGAGTCTTCCTCTCGGTGTACTGCGCCCAGGGGACCTCCAACGGTGGAATTAACAAGCTCAACGGCAAGAGTCCCGTTTTCACCGCTCTGAGGTTGGAAGAAAGTGCATATTCCGCTGTTCCCAGCAGGCCATGCTACAATCAGCCGTGGACCGATGATGGAGAGGTTGCTGTCTGGCAGAGGACTGGTGATAACGACTTGTGCGTCGACATTGCAGTCTGAGTAAAAGAAGTTCTCATATGGCGGGTCGCTGAGATGCTGGCTGGTTACTTGACACGAACTAGACTTGTCGCCGAGGACGATCATGTAGTACAGTGTAGTAAGCAACAAAGCCGCGTGAGGGATCAGCATATTGAAACCAGACGAATGAAGCTGAAGACTTGAGTAGTGGTACTCGTCTGCTTTGAAGCGGTCACCGAGGCCAACATTTATACGTCCCAGCGAGAGGCGTACCAGTTGTTCCTAATCGAGCTTCGTCATGGAGATGCCCCAAAGCGCGGTTACGAAAGCGCGGGTTGCGGGGTAGTCCCGCGCATAAGAAGTTTGCGGGGTAATAGGGCCGCACAGTCGGTCCGACTGTGAAGCTGGTCAACGAGGTATATGCCACATTCGACAACTTCTCTGGCGATCTCTCCAAAGGTCCTGACTTTGGTGCACTAGCCAGGAGCCCCACGTGTAAGGATGGGCTGATGACGAGGAGAAGTGGAAAGTTCCGGGCTGAAAAGTTTGGCAAGGCCATTCTTTTACGTCCGACAAAAGCCCACTAGCCTGAGCCATTACTCCTACAAGCCAATCAGTTCATCTTTTACGGCTAGCTGGCAGTGACCGTTGGCTGGCTGTAACGGTCATGGATTGTTGAGCCACACTTAAGCATCAAGACTAACGAGTGTCCTTCGTGCTGGGCCCTATGCCAGCAGGAGAGCTGGGCTGATTGTACGGCCCGATTAGTTTTGTTCCTAGCTGTATGTCGTACTCGCTTCTTTAGACCCTTGAGCTTATGACTGGGCCTTCTGCTTGAGAGCTCCTAAAGAAGGTTTTAATTTTGGACTAGTTAGAAACTCGGGCGCAACTGGAGTTTTGAGATGGTATGTAAATCCAAGTCTCTTTCTACGCTTCGCACTTCCAGGACCCCTGGCTCTGTCCAGATGGTCACACCTCGTAGGCGTTCAGAACCCTTCCGACAGTATTATAAATCTTCATATCTAAGCACAAATAGATGTATATCCATTTAAGGAAGACATCCTCATAGATCCAAATCAGTGGATGATGAAGGAGGAACGCCTTGTATATGTTGAACAGAAGGCATATGCTGGGTATCACGTGCGGGTCAAGGGTCTTAAGATTGCTTATGGATACAGTAAATCCTTCAGGGGCAGAGACTTCCCCAGAGGCACACAACACGAACACACCCATCCTGCGTCAATGGACCGAATACACGTACTGTCTGACAGTATAATGCTTATTGTGGATGTATTTTCCGTTCATCCAAAATCGGCTCGTCCCATGGTTCTCGGGATCCACTAAAAAGTCCCCAAAGGAGAGATGAGTCGACTTCGAAATTTTCCTCAGGAAGGTGGCTGTACTATGACTATGAAGAGATATGCTGGATTCCAATGGTTCATCCGCGGAGTGGGTTGGCTAGCATCCTTCATTAGGTCTGCTGGCATCGCAGCCATCCTCATCATTGTCCGACTGTCTTAGGAGATTATGTATGGCGAGGCGTTCTCGGATGTAGGCAGCTGTCGAGGTTTGGGATGGTCGCCAAGGATTTACGTCCGCTGCTGCAACGTCCCGGCGACCCGGTGACTCGAGCCAAAGTCTATGTTGGCGGATTAGCCGTTCAAGGTCCTGGCGCTACCAATTGTTAGGCTCTAACGTCACTTAGGTTGGACATTGGTGACTTACTATGGGCTCTACGTGGGATGCGAAGCCAAAGCATTGGGTGATCACATCCAAGCATAGCTGTGCCTTGTCGATGGCCATCTGCATCGGTAACCCAGTATTATACCCCCCTGTGCAAGTGCCGAATAAGATCAGGCGCGCGCTATGGTAGGCACATACCGCGACATCAAACTCCAGTATGTTCCCTTCGTCCTTCTGCTGAATAATGCTCGATAGGATTTCCACGATCTCTTCTGTGTGTCCAAAGCACTTGTCCTTCATTAAAGCTAGCTTGGTAGGTGTTATCCCTTCTGTGCCAAGATAGGGAGAGAGCCCAGGATATTGGGTGAGGAAAATACCATAGAGGTCACAATAGCATTGATGCCAGCTGAGGTGCAAGCTTGCATGCTGCGGTGATCTATAGAGCTTTATGGGGTCTGAGGGTGGGTACTGGCCAGAGGGCGCAAGCCAAGATCGGAGTCGAAGCAGGTCGTTTTCGAATTCTTCTATAGAACAAAGCAGGTCGAAAATATTAATTTCTTTAAGAAACAGGCGTCGATTTAATCTATTTGCACGTGATTAGCATATCCGCATCTTCACATGCGCGATAGGAGGAAGAGGCAACGTAGACGGTAGTGGTTAAATCTTGGACTGGACAAGAGATGTAAGGGATTAGGCGGTGTCGGCAATAAAGAAATTCATAAACATACATTCTAATACGCCGCCGAATAAACGTAAGCTTTGCAAAAGCTGCATGAAGGCCTATGGCTCGAGGCTCCAATCCCTTATCGGAGCGTTGATATCCAGTGTTTACCAGCCGTTCCTCGGTAAAGTCGATCTCCTCACAAGGTAATTGAAGATGGATAGTGTCCGGGTGAAACAGCTCATAGCCCTTCGATTCCGAAGAGAAATTCTCATCAAGTAGGTACAACGACCAGAAAGTTCTTCTCCTAACCTCCTGGGCAGCCGGTCTTAGGCCTGAGTGTTCGTAGTTGAGGCGCAGGGCCGCTGCCCACCGTCCGGCGAGGCCAGCCATCATGAAAGTCCGCGAGAGCTGTCCCATGCTGACTCGATAGCGAGTGACGAGCAGGGAAGCCTGGAGCTGGAAAATCGAGGGTCGTTCGAGGCGATCGAGGATTAGGCGTTCTGACTCCCGGGTCCATGCATCGCGCTCAGCCCCAAGTTTGGAGAAATATATGGCTGTAATAGCGCAAATGGCAAGCTTTAGTGCCTTGTCGATGGTTTTATCACGACATCGCTGGACGACGGTAGCCTTGTGAAGGAAATTGTAGGAGGAAAGGGGATAGAGACTGTTAAAGTATTGCTCAACTAGTGATATTGCGACCTCGTCCGAGGGGCAAGTGTCTGGTGACGCCGATGAAATCGCAGGTTCCATGCCATGAGTCGAACTGTCACGGTGAACCTCGGATACGGCCCTGAGAGTTGGCCGCAGCAGCGGCCCGGCCGACTTGCTGACCGAGCCTGGTTGAGTATCCTCCCATGTCAATGAAAAAGTTATCTTGGGGTTAGCCATTGGTCTTTTCGGAGTGATGGGTCTGGTCTGGCGTTGAGAGTAGGGCGGATTGCGTCTTGCAAACAGCACCAAAGAATCAAGATGCCTCCCAGAACCTCGGTATTCAATTATGTTATTTGTCGTGGCTATTATTTATCAGCGTGATCGTCGCACCACAAGGGCAACGACAAATCCCGAGACGACGTGTCACTTCTTGTTTTCCACCAGAGGAAAACCATCCAATGAATCGCCCACATGCGCGATTACTTGGTCTGCTCTCCCGCGGAAATGATGCTCATTCGCTGTTCTTGCCATGAGTGACTAAGAGTAATTATCGCCCAAGTGTTTTAGGGGTTTTTGTTCGATGCTCCACACAACCGGTTGGCGGAGAGCTCGACTCCACCCGTGCCGCGCTCCATTATTGCGTCACCTGCCAGCACGATTGCGCCTTCGGTGGCCTCATATCAACGGAGTATATATAAAAAAAATAAAAAAAAAAGGGTGGTTAAGGAGAGAGAGCTTCGTCTCATTCAATCAGAACGGTCCTTGCGCCTCAGTTTTCTTTGAGACTAATCGTGACGCAGGACTTGCCGGTCATCAGGAATCATTCCGCACTCACTATCAACATGTCTTCGGTAGTCCAAAAACGGGGCAGCAAGTCACTACTTGAGGGGGCCTATAGTCCGGCCTATTCCCGTGACTCGGTCTTCCGCAACTCCGTCGTGCTTGGAAGACTAAGCACGGGGGGTACGTTGACTAAGGAAATGGTCGGTTGATTAGGGAAACTAAGAAAGATACTTCTATTTCTATAGAGATTCTTAATAAAAATAAGTGCCTAAGTTAATTAAGAAAACTTACAAAGTCTAAAATTATCTAAGTAACTTAAGATAAAAAAGATATAATTACTTATTAAAAGATATTAGATAATAAAGTCTTGAGTTATTTAAGAAGATATATTTTATATAGTAAAAAGTGACTTCTTTCTCTATATAAAAATATATAGAAAAAGAAGTATCTTTTTCCTCAATCAACCGGCCATTTCCTGAGTCAACGTACCCCCCGTGCTTGGTCTTCCAAGTGCAACCGAAACCAAGCACGGGGGACCGGGCCGGTCTCTAGGCCCCCTCAAGTAATATCCTCCCAATCAAGCAAGAGCTAAAATTTGCTGATGATTCTGTCCCAACTTCCGAGCATGGAGAACTCCCTCGGCTATTCACCAACCACCGTGACCCTATCAAGCTGAGCGGTGCGCTCGAAAAGTTCGAATCGTTCGACGTTACGCCCGTGATCGGACGGGAATTCGTCGGCGTCGATCTTTCCAACCTGCTACGGGCTCCTAACTCTGACGAGCTTATCCGGGATCTTGCAATCACCAGTACGTTAACCCTAGAAAACAGTAAGTTATGATGCCAACGCGCCAACAGTCTCCCGCCGTGGCGTGGTTTTCTTCCGCAAGCAGGATAACTTGACCGATGACCTGCAGAAAGAGCTGGTGCAGCGCTTGGGAGAGCAGAGCGGCAAGCCAGCAACAACGCGGCGCGTGACCACGCCGGCAAGGACGACGAGATCAGCGTCGTTTCGTCCCAACAGGCGAAGAAGCTGTTTTCTGGCAGCTATGCCAGCTTCGGCTTCGGAGCTAAGCGCTAAAGTTTCAAGGACCAGTGGCACTCGGACATCACCTTTGAGCCCATTCCAAGTGACTACGCCCTGCTACGGCTGACACAGCTGCCTGAGACCGGTGGAGGTTGGTCCTCCGCAGAAACCCACTGTCCTCAGACACGGAAACAGCGACCTGACCACCTTACAGATACACTGTGGGCATCTGGCTACGAGTTGTACGACCGCATCTCGCCGACGCTGCAGCGCTTCCTGGATACGTTGACGGCTAAGTACGCCCAGCCGCAGTTCAATCAGGCCGCTAAGGAGAACAACTTCAGCATCTACAGCGCGCAGCGCGGCGCGCCAGAAAACGTAGGCGAGGTGCTTGAGGCTGTTCACCCAGTCGTCCGTACGAACCCCGTGACTGGATGGAAGTCTATTTTTGCCGTCGGTCAGCACGTTGAACGCATCCATGGGCTCAGCGAGACAGAGAACCGCCATTTCCTCGATTGGTTTATCGACCTCATCGTCGAGAACCATGACCTGCAGGTCCGTCTAAAGTGAAAGAATGCCAACGACGTGGCTATCTGGGATAATGGGAGCGTCTACCATGCCGCGACACCTGATTACATGTTTGAACAGGGCCTAGGGGAGAGGTATGGCGTTCGTGCCGTCAGTCTCGGGGAGAAGCCGTATTTTGACCCTCAGAGCACGGGAAGGAGGGAAAGCCTGGAGAAGGAGACGCAGGAGGCCGCGGTCCCGGAAGTCTCTGCATAAATGTTAGATACTATTCCAACTCTACAGCCCAGCGCCCAACATCCCGTCCCCATCAGCGTCTCAAGTAGTGTCCATGGCACAGGTAGCAACAAAATTGTGTCAGACAATTGGTTCCGCAGGGATCATTGGTGGCACCAGTCGATTGATGAGGGACCGTGTCTGCATCGATGCTCTCCACGCAAGAGCAGAAGATGTTGACTGGCACATTGTTAAAACAAAAATGGGGTTAGCCCAGAAGACTGTTGAGACTTATACTTCAACACACATGCTGTGGTTGTCGTTAAAGATTACGCCATTTAGGGAATCGGTGATGGCCATTTAAGCGTCAGACAGAAAGACTTTCGCCTTCAAGTGGCTTTTCAGAAAGCCGCGCTGGCTATTGCGACCGATGCTGAAGCAGCCTTGGAGGCCCAACTCTTACGAGGATCTAGAACATGACGGATGTTGACCTGGTTTGCGGGGAACCCTGTCATTCCTGAATCCCTTGTAAACTCCATTAGGTCAAAGAAGCCTCCAAGCGATGGGCAAACCGTGCGGCCTGTCTGCAGACGAAGTCAAGGCCCTGAAGGGCTTTTTTTGACAAATTGGCCAGCAATCGCCGAACCAAAATTGCAACCATAAAGGTGTCATCTATCAAGGCTAACCCAAGCATCACGGTGACCGGCTTGCTCGCGTCTGAAGTCCTCGTCCGCAGAAAGCCTACAATCGCGATTTTTTCTCCCTCGTCACCTCGTCGCAACAGAGAATTTCAACAGCTACGGCTAAACTCATTGTGGCAGTTGATTTGAGGCCTGTTTATCCCAAGATCCTTGGCCACCATCGGATCCGATAGCTCGATCTGCAGCTAGGTGGCCTCATCCCCGCGTCATCTCCAACTATCGGATCCGAAAAAGTTATGGCCATTCCCTTCACGACTTACGAACTCATTAAACAATCGGGAAACCATCAAGGGGGAATCTCGTAGGCACAGGGGGATAACGTCCATAATTGGCGCGTGTCCCATCATGCAAGGCTAAGCAGTACACGGACACTACCTTATTGATTGACATACGTGCCATGGCGGGAGCTTGGCTGAACCTCAGAACACCTACTCGTGGCATGCAACCCCTTGAGATGTACAAGAGCAGCTCACATGTATTTGAGTTGACTCGATCCATTTAGATAACATGATAACCGGCCAAAAAAAATCTCTGGGGGCCAGAGTACCCATGGCGCTTCCAATCTGCTCTAGAACAGCCAAGGGGATAACTGCTGAGCTCACAGGAGCGGCCCGGCTGTGCATTCTCGGAGCCTGTCAGAGCCAGCCATGCATCTGCAGCGTCCGGATGACCGGCAAGTATTGGCACGCGAGCTTGCACAGCAAGCAATCTGACAGACAGAAACGGTCTTAGGAGGCAGCCGGCTCATGCATGAGGGTTACATTCACCTGTTGGCGCTCGACTAGGGTTACATTGGGCTGTCCCACGGCCCGTGCCCTTTGCTTTACCCCAGGTTTTTTCCCCTGATCCCAGCAAAGACCATGGGGTGACCGCTGGGATTTCTTGCTCACCATCTCTAATATGTAGGACTCGCACATGATTTATCTACGAAGAAATGGCCCCAGAAAGTCACCTTCGCTCCCCCTAAAACTTCCCACCTTCGCTTGGTCTCGCATCTCCATGCTAGTTTAGCCTACTAGTGCGTACGTTGGCACCATCGCGTTATCCGCATGCGCTACTCGTCTACGAGGCATAGCAGACCGTCACCCAATCTTCATAACCCATCGTTGTGCACAAGCTCCCCTCATTCTCGGCTGTCATGGAGGTTAGACACGAGTTGGTTCCTGCTTCTGCAGATGGGCGGCCAACAAGAGCAATATACGTCTTGGAACGGGCTTTTTCAGTTCCTTCTTTGATTGGGAGTCTTCTCATCATCATCACATTCTGCAGGGCCCGAGGTTTTCGCAAGCCCATCAACCGCCTTATCTTTTACGCGACCTTCGGGAATATCATGTCCAACGTTGCAGCAATAATGGCTGATGAATTTCTCTACAACCCCACAGAGGCTGGTTGTAAACTGCAGGCTTTCATCATTCAAATGTATTACTTTCCACGTTTTCCGTTGCAGCCAAGAGCTACACACAGTCCACTAACGTCCAATTATCTAGGTTCATGCCTGCTGATGCGTACTGGTCATTGGTAATGGCTCTCAACGTTTATCTTACCATCTATCATAAGTACGACGCGCAAAGGCTGCAGAGAGTAGAGGTTATTTACCTGTTTTGTTGCTACGGGTTGCCGTTTATCCCTGCCTTGACATTTATCTTCATAAATGATCCTGCAAGGGGGATGTTTTACGGTCCGGCCAGACTATGGTGTTGGGTGACACCAAAATGGGTAGTTGTAGCAATGGCTACATTGCATTGTCCTGTCTGGTAAGTCTTTTTCCCCATTGGTGATTTGGTGCGCCGGATCTGACAAGTTTAGGGTGGCTATCGTTATCACCTTCGCAATATATTTCCGCGCAGGGGGCGAAATACTCCGGGTACGAAGCTCATTACGCTCCTTGAGCAGTCGATCTCAGGACAGCCACCAGTTGGATGATAATGAGACCGCATTTCCAAAGACGGCTGAAGTTGTCGTGCCTTCTGCGGTCCTTCCCCATTTTCATCCCAGGGCTCCCCACAGCAGCACTCTCCATCGACCCTCAGTCTCTTCCGTCACAGTATCTACGAGAGCCAGACAAGTTGAGACTTACGAACAGAAGTATGTTGAGTCTTCTAAGCAAACGTGCGATATCCGAGAGATCGAAAATGCCACGCAGCAAGGCCGTAAAGGTCGGAGGCTCCGGGCCGCTTCTGACACCGACACCGCTGTCTGGTCATATGTGAAGTGCACGCTTCTTTTCTTCACTGCACTCCTCGTCACCTGGATCCCGACAACATTGAACAGACTGATCGCACTTGTGAATGGCAGCAATCTTGCGGGCCTGGAGATTCTTACTGCTATTGTACTGCCACTGCAAGGGTTTTTCAACGCTGTAATTTATGCCTATACCTCAAGGGAAGAGTTCAAAGGGATATGGAGGGATATTCGTACCAGGCTGCCTTCTTGGGAAGGCGACGAGATTTGGAACTCTACGAGAGGTGGCAATTTATGTCTGGTGCAGCTTCACGCTCCGGTTCACGGTAGGTCTGACCGTGAAGCTGAGACTGAAAGCACGAGAAGACTTGCGCAGTGAGAGCTATAGTAACCGCGTTGACAACGCCCGTGTACAATGCACTCGAACAGATGACGCCCAGTGAAGCTTTAAAAATTAAAAAGGGGTATATAAACATGCTACTATCGTAGTAACATGGAAGGATCAGGTTGATCTACCCAGACACCGTAGTATTCACGTCTTTCAGTACCGAGAAAAAAATGAATTTCAGTTTAACTAAATGAATTAAATCTGGGAGAGCAAAATTGTTCGTGATGTCTGGGCGGAGGCCGTGAGGGCTGTTTTTGTTTGGTGGTGCTGCGAGCATGGAAAAGGTACCATGTCCCTCAAAATAACAGGTAGGGCAACATGATATCCATAAGGGTGACATGAAGTGGAAGCCTGCTCTAATAAACTGAATAGCAGAGCCGAGACCTCAACTTCCCAGGAACGGGAGAGAGCCTCGGCCATGACTGTGCCTAGGCTGCTATCACGCGAGTGAAATCAGCTCAGGTTGATACACCAAGACCAATCGAAAACGAAGCCATTGACATAGTCCATGCTCGAAAAGAGACCAGGAGGTGCTTTTCTGCAGGGCATCAGTGAGTGTAGGAAGTTCCCCATCGTGTGCATCAACATTAGATTGGAGCTGTGCCTCCTCTATAATGCCGCCATCTCACTCGGAACTTTTTGCACCTGTCAGTAATTCAGGGCTCAGCGTATTCGGCGGCCATCTGGGAAGGGCAGTCGCAGGATTGACGACCTCAATGGACTCTGTCCACTTGCCACCATAACCCGTAGCGAACATGCATAGACCTCCCGGGATCAACTCTGTGCGCATCTTCATGCAGGCGCGAGAGATTCAAGCCAACGCTACCTCACATCACCCTGTGCGGGTAGCCCGTGCCCTAAACACCGGGCGTCTCTGGCAGCCTTGAATTTGAACGATACAGCCATGTCCTTCTCTCAAACACGACGCCCTTTCCGTGTGTGGCTCTTCTAATGTAATAACTGTTCGGCGATTATAGTTCTGCCTGTCTAACCTGATTATCTCAAGCTAAACCTTATCTAGTCTCCTTCATAGCCAAGACATTCTCCATTAGCCAGTCACGATAGACCGTCTGGATCCAAACACCTAGATGGCGCAGGCAAGCGGCGAGCTTGTAGCAGCCAACGAGGGTGTCAGTGCTTCCAAGGGGGCGCGTTGGGATCAGATCAATGCTGTGAGGTTGATCCCTGATAAAAAAAAACAAGAGTCCATTCTCCCTCGTTGACGGATATGGCAGGGATTGTGACGTTGACAGCCAAGGATCGCCATCATGGACGCCTTGGCCTGTCCGTACAACGGCTGGGCTACGCATAGTAGCGCTATGGCTACTAATGACTAGATCATAAGGGCTTCACCTCTAATGGCTATAAAAGGCCCCTCCCGCCAAGGGTCTCTCTTAACAATCAAACCTAGAAGTTTATTTTGCTTGAGGGGGAGCGTAATGTTTATATGAATCCAGACTTATATGCGCTTAAGAGACCGAATGTGGGAGGGACATTCTGGAACGATGTCGCCAGCATTTGTAATAGAGCCGATAGAAAGTGGTTCCAAGAGGTGGGACAAGAAGAGAAATGTTCACTTACATTCCAAACAGTCTCCTTATAGACCTCCTCAAACCAGGCTTCTGCGATACTTCAATAATCGTGGGCTATAGCGTGGATGGTAAACATAAGCATAGGAAGTAAAGGTGCTTATGCTATGAAGTTCGAGCCTGATATGGGCAAAATGCGTTAGCATTTTGCGAGGTCTATGATATTGCAAATAATATTCTAGTCGTTTCTAAGCAGTCTAAAGGTTTTATTAGTGCTATGAGTTAACTAAGAGTATGCGATAAAGAATATAGAGGGACCAAGTGGCGTGTAACGCACATGATAAGCAGGACTTATCAAACGCACTTATCAGGCGTCGCGCACACGATTTCACGGGCCGCCTTTTGCGGGGGATAAGTTGTCACGTGGTCTAAGCGAATTACGACGTAATTGCGGGCACCATCGATAAGCATGCCGGTCAAACAAGTGTACCGGTCACTTTAGTTTTATACCTTAAATGCGATTTTTAGAAAAATTCTTTAAAATTTAAATTAAGCCTAAAATAGCTATAATCTCTTAATGTCAGACAATTGGCTCCACAGGGATCATTGATGGCACCAGTCAATTGATGAGAATTATCTAAGGAGCAATTGTACTATACAAAAGAGAAAGACGTTGCTGTCTTATATAGAAGACGGAAATCCGTGTAGAACGGAAATTCCGAGTGGAATTCCGGAAATAATCCGGTGGGCTATGCCGTGTGTGCGATAGGCTGATATGCGACACTTAATTAAGCCTTCTAAATAAAGAATTTCAGAGAGAAAATTTTCTAGAATTTGAAAAAAATTCCTCATAGATTTAATTAGAAAAACCTTATTTATACTATGTATTTTACTATTTTAATTTTTAAAAAGTTAAATAAATTAACTAAAAATCTAAGAAAAATTTAATCCATTGACTCTTTTATTTATATATCTAAAATTAATTCCCTAAAAATCCTAAGGCTATATAGCCCGTTTTAGAAAATCTAAAATTAGGTACTTTTAGCTGTACAGTATAAGTGACCGGCTTACTTGTTTGACCGGCATGCTTATCATGTACGTTAGCCATAGTCGAAATCTATGTTGACACAGCCGCACCATATCTCGCCCTTCTTGCGGTTCTTGCCGCAAATTAGGCAGTTGGGGCACGAAACCGATCGCTTGGAGTCTTGGATGGCCTTGGCCTCGTCATCCAAATACATCAGCGAGTTGACGTTAAATTCGGAGCCATAGCCCCAGGCTCTGTCTTCACCCAAGGAAGCGGATTACCATAGCAAGAGCTATCATCTCCGTTCCTTTGTTGATAAATGTCAGTATGGCCCTTGCAGACGGGCAGAAGGCGTGGCGCTTCGCCTGAAGGTCGCAATGCGTTCGTTGTCACCGGCAATGCAGAGACGAATACATTGTCCTCCTATGCAACGGTTTGGCTGTTGGACAGAGGTTGGTTAATGATTGATTATCGTTGCCTGCGATCTCAGCCAGGCCATCATCCTATCACCTCAATCTAGCCACATCAGTCTTCTCAAAAGACGAGTTGTGCAACGGAGGGTGTGATTAGAAGAGATTTCATTGCGCTGCTTGATTCTATTTAAGGGAGCGACGAAGGTCGGCCTCTTATGCCTATGTTCAGTCTTCCAATATCAAAGGCAGCAGCCTGCTGCCTGATGCTAGTTGTGGTCGTTCACGAACATCGCGATTCTCGCCTTATTTCTATCCTCATTCCAACAAATCTAGCCACCTCAATCTAACCAGCCACGAACTTGGTAGTTGTTGAAGCACAATTTAGCAGTAATCAAAGGCCATACGTATCGCGAGCGATGCAAGGTACATTTCTCGTCACTAATCGAAAGTATAACAGCGCTGTATTCACTCAACGAGACATCTTATCGGCATCTCCAGCCTTGCCCCTGAGCCCGTTACGGTTCCCTGCTCTCCTCCTCGACTTGGACTTGGGAAAATAGTCATTACCAGCGGCTGCGCAGTGCGTTGAGCCAACCATTTTGGCGCGACATCCTTTGCAGACGTCTTGCCAGGTTCAGATTAAACAAAGAGATTAAGCATTAAGAAAGTATTTACGCATCGGCGCTATCTCGCCGTAGATTTGGCAATTATATAATCATATAACTCATTAGTGCTCCTATTATCTATTAGATCGACGTTTAGACTCTTAATATTAACTCTAGTAATAATACGGATCTTATCTCTAGAGCTATTATTAAGATATAACCCCTTAGACGCCATAACTACCGTGTTAGACTCTAAGTTATCTAGCATAAGACCGCTCTTAGTAGTAATATTTTTATCCTTTCTTAGCTTATGCGTAGAGAGCTTAATAAATATACCTATATTATGGTAATCTTAATTTGATCTAGATTAGGTTCCTCTATAGTGCTAGATAAAATTAATAAGTTCGCTAAGGATAGTAAATTTAAGTTTAAGTTTAATAAAATATATAGCCACTTTAACTCCTTATTCTTAGATAAAATAGTTTTTATACTTAATTACGAGAAAGGTAATATCTATTACGACCTAGGTCACGAGCGGCTAGAAGGACGGCCGCACTAAGATAAGTCAGCAGGCACGGAGAATAATATACCCGACGATCGGTTTAATATATTACCTATTAAACATATCGGTCGGCGATTAATAGTAATATGCCCTATATTACTATAATTAGGCCCCGGAGGATAAGTATATAGAATATACTTATTAATACCTTCCTATATACTAGCTACCTCAGCTATTAATATAACTTAGTTATACTTAATACCTTTAAGTATATTACTAGATATAATATTATAATATCTCTATTTAAGATAATACTAATAGTCTAATGCTAATATAAACCTAATATAACTAGTTTATCCCTTAGATCTAATTATATTATTATATATTAATAGCTCTTATTTATTAGATTATTCGCGTTACCTTAAATAATATTAAATATAATAGCTACTTAGGCTACCCCTAGTAATAACTATTAGTAGGTTTTATTTACTAATTACTTACCCGTTCCTATCGCACTAGCTTAGGCTAATCTTAATAGCGACGAGGAAATAGATAGCGACGATAAAGAAATCAAGTAGCTCTAAGCCTAGGTCATTGCGATGACTATTAAGATAGATAAGCTTAGGGGACTTATTAATTATATAGCTATTAGCTAGTAAACCTAGAATTAGTAATACTAGGATAATATCTAGCTTATTAATAATATAGCTATTATAGCTATAAAGGGCAAAGATATTAGAGAAATCCTAAAGCTAGAACTACTAAAGAAGTTTAATAATACCGCGTATAAAC